CCCAGCTTACGAAGCCGCCGTTTGTATGTCGAGCAGTGATTAGAGCCCTTCCTTATTTGAATCACTGTGGATCCTCCGGGGGAGGCTGGACACCCTGTAGCAGAAATGTATTTGCTTCGGTCTCAAAGTGTCCTGGTCTCTCCCGGAAGTGGACAATCTGCGATTGGATATGAAAGACGCCACATCTTCAGCAGCACCAGCCACCTTGTCCCTCCCTCCCTCCCCATCAGCGACGGCTGGGCTGGTTTTCGCCGATTCCTGGTTCGCTCATCTGCTGTAGCTCTGTGTGGAGCAGACAAACCAGCTGACGCAGTCCAGGCCGCCATGCCTTCTTGTTCTGCCATCTGTCTTTAGAGCTGAAGTGTAGTAAGGCGTCTTATTTTGGTTCCAGCTGTACATCTTTATTTTGATCTTTTTTAAGTAAAAAAAAAAACAAAGAAAAAGAAATTACAAAGTGTGATGTGATTTGTGTTTTTTCTCAGATCCATGCACCTTTAACTGTGGAATCAGATGTTTGTGTTGACCAGATGTTGTTCCCCTGTGTTTTAAAAACCATTCAACTGACCACATCTGGGTATTGGGTGGTTCATGCAGGTTTTAACAAGTTAGACTTTTTCTAAATTTCACAGTGGTGCCATTTTATTGGCTTCTGGTCCAGCATTTTTAATCTGTTTGGAATCTGTCTGGGACACCCATTTAATTTCTCCTAGATGTCTGACCTCAGTTGGTCCTGATAAGTTAGAGATCCAAGCCGAGGAGTGGAAATATCAAAGAAAGGAGGATAAAGATGGAGATGCCAAGCGGGAGGAAAAGAGGAAGACCCTTCGTGGATATTGTGAAGGACGACATGCAAAGGTTGGTGTGACAGAAGAGGATGGAAGGGAGCGCTCAAAAACAAACCATCTTTAAACAGAAGCTAGTTTTTTTTCAAGTTTGTCCTTACACGGGGACTTGGGTTTTATAGAGCTAACAAAAATGGTTCAAACAGCTTTATCGATCAGATCGAATTATAAGGCAGAGAAATGTCCACTATGCGAGGACACAGGGTCTCAGGAGGTTACAGCTGCTTTGTATAAAGACATTATTGGGTTTCTTGCTGATGCCTTACGCTGCAAGGTCACATGCGGCGTAAGGCCGCATGTGACCTTGCGGCGTAAGGCGCAAGGTCCTTTAAGGAAACGTTTAAGGAAACGTTAGAATATTGGGGAATATATTTGCTTTTTTGTGCTCTCAGTTGTTACAGTGGTGTGCGGTAGTGCAAATTTTGGTGTCGACCCAATACAAAGTAAATACAGGGCCAAAAATTGCACAGATACTTTTAACCTATAAAGGCAGCTTATGTCGAAGAGGGTTTTCTGAGATGAATCATCATTAGTCTGCAAATCCTGAATGCATTTTAATGACCACACCACGTTTCAGCTTTTCATGTATTTTGAAACTAAGTTTTTAGGAGACCTGGAATGTAAATGTGTCTGTCTCTCAAGTGCTTTGAGCTAAATATATAAAAAAAAAATTTATTTCCCCAAAATTTATTTATTTAAAACAGTCTTAGAGGACAGAAAGAAAGTATTAATACTATCGCGCTACTATCAACCCAACACCAACACCACCGTTGGTATCATTGCTATCAATATTTGAACGAGCCCAGCCACATTTAGATTAAAATATTACTTGTATAGTTAACCCTTTAAGACCTACCATAGAACCAAGTCCGCCAGAGCTTATATTATATGTTTACATGCTGTGGTGCCATTTTTGGGAATATTTCAAGTTGCTATACATCAATACAACCATTATAGCCCAAATTTGAATAATATGTATGCATTAAGTGCATAGTAATTACATAAATTGCAAAAAAGTGGAATAAACTACAAAAAAAATTGAAAATCGTTTGTTTTTTTAACGTATATTTCTAGTTAGAGAAATTTAAGAGGCTTAGCCCACAAAACTGTAAATACAAAAAAAGTTGCACAAAATAGTTTCCCACCACAGGAAATTTATTTTGAGTGTCTTTTATTTTTGAAATACACCAATTTTTATATACTGCAGGAAAAACGAAAATAAATATTATAGTGCAAATTTGCAAAAAAGCAGCATGTGCATCAAAATAAACTATTTCCAGCACTGAGTCCTAAGCATCCCAGAAACGACACAGAAAGTCATAAAGTCAAAGATAGCTTTTAAAAACACCAGTCTAGGCTCAGGAGGCCCTGATGGTAAAAAAAACAACAACTACATTTCCGCGAAAATGACGTCACGTCCGGTTTCAGCCAAATAATGGCGGACGTGCGAAAGTTCGCTGTAGGAAGTGTTACGAACAGCTGATCGGTTTGGCAAAGCATGTTTCTGGAATATTATGTTTTTGTTGCTGCAAGTGCTTTTTATACAGTTTTTGCAAAGCTTTATGTGGAAGGAAACCGTGACCTAGGACAAGCTGATGGCATAAGATGTAAGTACAACTCCTCCGGTTTCATATGCAAAACAAATTTTTGCGCTAGCTTACGTGGTCGCAGAGCTACCAGGATTTAAAAATAGTTACCCAAAACAGAGCGTGCCTGCTCCAACCGTTTTAAAGGGTTAATTAATATCTACTGTATTACCAAAAACGATTTACTATTCTCGGCCAATAAGGTATGATGGAGTATGTTTTTTAGAACCATTCTTTTAGCAAAAAAAGGAATAAAAAACTATGAAAGCGGCTCACTGCACAAAAAACTGTATTATTGAAAAATTGTGCATAGATTAGAAACACTGAAAATAATTATTGTGCAGAAAAATATTCCCCATCAGAGTAATACTGAGCTGCTTTCAAACATTTGATACTACGTTGAATCTAAAGTATCTACATATTCTAATAAATCATATTTGTAGTTGCCATCCTGTGAGGTCCACATATTTCTGAAAACAACAACAAAATAACAGCTGCTATGAGCTCAATAACACATGCCTACATCTCGATTTTGTTTAAAGTACATTAAAAAAAAATGTCAACATTAATACTAAATATATAAGCTGAATTGAAACACGGTGTTAAGGTTAACTGTCACAGGGAGATATTGACTGGATACTGATCTTAAGCCAAAATCTAGTTTTTGTACAGCTTTTTTTGTATAACTTTTGAGCATTAGTAACATGAAATAATTCATAATTTCAACAACAAAACAACAGCCGAAAAATCCACGGGTAACTCTGGATGTTTGATCTGTTTTATGATTCACTGGAGAAGACCTTTTCTTAAATGCGTATTCTGTAACTTAACTCATATGTAAGCCTCATATTTTAATACAGCATGACTATAAAGACCAGGCATTACATCAGGGAAAGGTTGAAACTACACCGCACATGAGCCTGGTGTCTGTTGTAGGTCCAAACAAAGATGTCTTTTGCTTTATGCTTGTTTTGACCTGACAAAATCCACTTTTTATTAAAGGTGAAGGTAAAAAAGTGAGGATACAGATGCTGAATCAAAGTGAGATGTTAGAGATTCCCATCACTGCCCTCTGCTGATTAAAAATGTTATTTCACTCCATGTATGACAGCTGAAGTCAGTGTGGGAAATCCTTACTTACCTGCAATTAATATTTCTGTAATCAAAATGTATAATGTTGCTATCAGCTGACACTCATTATTTTATCAGGCTCAATAGCCCATCAAAATAAGTGTGAGTATAGATGCCCAGCAAAGTAACATCACCAGGACTGAGGCGTCGTTCCATGTCAGTTTCACGCCACCTCAGATTTATGGGGCGGAAAACACCAGGAATAATATACACTTAAAAGAAACTGGGCAAAATTCCAGGTCCTTTGTGGTTTTTGGATATTTTCCTAGCTTTTCTTCCATAACACATACATAATATATACAATATTCATAATATTCTTTAAAACTGTCCAAATTAGGTGGACTGGATTCACAGATATTAAAACTTGAATATGACAAAGAACACATTTTCATCCAACTCCCATTGAGTGGAGAGTTTCCGTAAAAACCATCATAAATTTGGGATAAAATATTATCTCTGATTTTCTCAGTATGAACTTTTGAAATATTAGGAACATTAGGAATTTAAAATGTAATATTACAGGAATTATGTGATGACAAATGACCAAAAAATTGAAACCTTTATGAAAAGCATCTACTAGGTTCCACTTGTTCCTGAATCGGTGAAACACGTTTGTCGTTTCCACAGCAGCAACAGTTTCAGTGCTGTGCTTTGTTGGAGGCTGACATGTTTAGGCATGTGTTGCCAGGAAACAATAATGCATGCTTAATTTGCCATGAAATAATGAAACGAGACCCAGCTGGCTATTTAACTGGCTGTCGGCTGATGGTTTATTACATGGGTGTTAAACACAAGGCCGGGGGACCCAGAACTGGCCCGGCACAGACTCTGTGGGCTGGATTTGACCCTTTAACTGCAGGTTTTACAGCTTTCCTCACTCACAGCCATTCATGCTACACCAAATTAACCATCAAATGACAAAAGTTACTGACTTCTCATGACCAACTATAATTTTTGGACCAACTTTAAAAAACAAAACAAAAAAAAGAACCTTTGTGTGAATTAAAAACCATTTGCTCTATAGTTCCAGGACCGTCTGGGTAACGAGCTACCTGAACTGTTTCTTAGACAGATTCTTTACTGGCTAGAACTGAGCAAACTGAGACTTGCTGTTGAAATTGCACTTTAATACAATATCTCAAGAATTGTGTGTTTAAACATGGCTTTTAATTCCTGATGAAAGTCTGAACTGTAATCACTCGCTGTTTAAATCCACTGTGATGCACAGACACAAAACTACAAATAAGTGTGTCATTGTCTGAAAGCTTACAGTCCTAACTGTAGGTTAAAGCCATGTGTCGGTCCTACAGCGCCCCCATGACTGTGATCCAAGAATATCCTCTCACGCTGCAGGTCAGATACCCTCTGATCAACACAACGACAATTTCTTTTCCGAATTTCATGGATTTTAAACTGAAATAAATAAAAAAAAGAGACATGATTTTCAATTTGAAGTTTAATGTTAATTCCATGCTGTGTTTCAGTAAGAATACAGATGGTACTTGTGGCTCCGGTGAGAATATCCAGTAGTACAAATCAGATTCACTTTACACATACTGAACAGAAGGAGTAGGAAGAAGAGGAGGATGAGGAGAGGGAAGGGACAGAAGAAAACCTGAAAGAGTCAGGGGAGTAAAGATACAGCAGGCCTCTATTTCCCAAACTGTTTTTATATAGTGCCAATGCAAAACTGCATTACGTTACAATCAAAGAGTGTTGAGCAATCCCCTCCCACGCTCACACTGATGCACATTTTGTCTGTTAAAAAGCCATTACCTAACTATCTGCCATTAGCGAAAGCGCTACAGCCTCGCAGCACAAAACTTGGTCCAAAGAGTGGACAAGGAGAGAGGTCAGAGCGATGCTCGGAGGTGGGGGACGTTTCGTAATTTAACAAAAAAAGAAAGAAAGAAAATGAACATGTGTTGAAGAAGCAGGTGTAGTAACCACAAAAAAGAAAATGTAACGAGGGCACTTAGTTCTTCCAAAAAGCTTTAACACATCCCTTTTAAACCTCCCATCACTGCTGTGTTTCCTCAATGTGACAACTGACGAAGCACGGACAAGATACTGATCATCAACACACGCGCGCACATACACCGGAAAACAGCAAAGTATCGTCTTTAAATAAACTCTTGCACGTGTTACAAATACAGGCAAGCGTACTTGGCAACAGATGATAACAGCAAAATAAAGCAAAATAAAAACTGTGCAAGAGGACGTGAACCTTAAAGGGGGTACAGGCGTGCAAAAAAAAGAAAAAGTAATAAAACTAAGTGAAAACCCCCAGGGTGGGAAAAACGAGGGAGATGGCGTGCATACGAGGAGAAAAAGGTGGGGCAGGAGGGTGGAAATGGAGGGGATTGTAGAGTAGGAGTGGGCTGCAGAGTAAACCCAGCTGAACACTGTGGCTGGGGACAGGAGACAGTGCTGGGAGGAGGGAGTTAAGAGAGGAGGAGGAGGAGGAAGAGGAGGAGAGCTTGTCTTGTGTTGTTCGGTCTCACTGGGCCTCGTCCTCCGCATCTTGCAGTGCTTCTTTGTTCTGTTCTTCACCTGAGATGGAGACAAAAAGCACCAACAGTCACTGGGCTGCTGCTATACACTTAAAGACATTTCAACAGCATCACCGGTGACGAGCAGCATGAAGTGAAGCATGGATATCCAAACTACGGGACGGTTTGCCAGTCACGGATTTAGCCTGGACCTTAAAATATTGAATTTTTAGGCTTCATCCATGGTTGGAAAACTGCCTGTAAATCAGAAAATGATCAAATACTCACATAAAAGTACGTAACAGCTGTATAAAGAGCAGTAAGTACGATGACGGCACTAATTTAAAAGCCCTTTATGGTCCAAATGGAGTGAAATTAAGAAGATTAAACAGGGTTTGACATAACCTGTGTCCTGTGGGGCAAGCAGACTGGCCAGCTGCTGTTCTGTGACAGTGTTTCAACAGCACACAGGTATGATCTCACCTGTGAAGTAACCCATTTTTACCGCTCTTTGCTGTCAGTAGCTTACTGTCACATTGAATGAAGCGTTTGAGGTTAATGAAATTAAGAGGTGTTGAAAACAGCAGGGGTTCAAGACCCAACAGCTCGAGCTTCATAGAATAAAAACACCTGCAGGTGGCTGGCATGTTTGTGTATGAAAACATTTTTGTACACACTTTAAAATATTTAAATAATATCAGCAAACCAGGAATGGGGATAAACAAAAAAAAAAAACGCTCCCACGGGTGTTTTGTGTAATATTTTCCAATATATCCCCTGGTCATCTGCAGTGAGTGTAAGCTGTCAGCCTGCTGTTTACCTCAGCTGTCAACATGCCCAGTGTGAATTATCCACATACATTTGCTGTGGAGGATGCCATCAATCTTTGTGTAACGAGTCCGAAACGAGTCGATGAGTCAGTGAAGCTAAATCTGAGGTGATGAATTATTCCTCTTGGTAAGAGCTGCAGCTGTTTCTAAAGGTTTTTTGTTTTTGTTTTTTTAAATCTTGTCAAACTCGACCAGTATGTGATTAAACTCTCGTAAAACCTGAGGATTTCCTTTAATTATTTATCAGTTTGAAAGTGTGATTTTTAGGATACTTAAGCAAAACATTAGTCGGTATAATGTTAGTTTATAACCAGCTGCTATTTGTCGTTTTCTGACTGAAAGCTGGAAACAGGAATATCTGTGGCTGAACTTTGTGCATATGCCTTTACAGGAGTTTTCCTCTTTAGGAGGAGTATATTTTAAAGAATCGCACAAACGTATTTTTCTGACATAATGTTTGTGTTCTTCTAAACCAGCGGTGTCAAACTCCAGGCCTTGAGGGCCGGTGTCCTGCAGGTAACACCCTGGGTCAACACATGTGAATACAATGATTAGTTCATTACCAGGCCTCTGGAGAACTTCAAGATATCTTGAGGAGGTGATTTAGCCATTTAGATCAGCTGTGTTGGATCAAGGACATCTAAAACCTGCAGGACACCAGCCCTCGAGGCCTGGAGTTCGACGCCTGTGTTCTAAACATTGTAAAGGTCAGTTTCTAATGGTGAAGTAGTTTGCCACTGCCCCCTCTGGTGGCTATTAGAAAGAATGCAGCTTTGAGGCACTTATGCATAGACCCAGAGACTACAGACATCTTTTAGATACAGTCCAACAAAGCCAGCCATGCATTTAAATAAGGCAACATGTGTAATCTGTCTGCAGCTGTAATGTGATAAATTTATCTAATTTTAAATACTTATGTCCCTGATTAAACTGATTTAAGTTTAAACGACCATCATTGTAATAAGTGGGAGACGCTCAGATGCTAAAAATAACCCAAACATTTACATACAAACTGCAACTTTCACCAGTGACCGTCAACGTGCAGGCCAGTAAGGAGGAGCTGTGTGCAGACTTACTAACAAGGGCGAAATGCTTTGTGAACCTGTGCAACTGGTTGCTTAGAAAGGTTACCATAGAGACCGCACAGCCATCCGTGTAATGAAGCATTGAGAGGCACAAATAACAAAGGCCTGAGAATCTGTCATGATTAAAATAGAAAGCGTAACGGTGCTCATTAGCACCGCGGCTAACTGTGATGTGAGAGCACTGCAGGACACGGAGCAGCAGCCTCACATGCTGCCACTGCAGTTCCTCCGTTATGTCACACTTCCGCGAGGCTGCGTTCACAGGTTTCCAAGCACCGACCCACACACATGTGATCTGCTGTGATGCCCCAGTGTGCAGAATTCAGTCACACCGACGTGCATTTGTGAAGAAGCAGAGTGTCCGCAAATCCTTATGGTTAAATTAGAAGATGGAGTCATTTGTATGGTCACAGGAGGAAGGTGGGTTGTGTTTCTACATTTCAGATTCACAAGCCCACAACTGTGAGACTGACACCAGCATTTAGGGTGCAAAGCTTAAAAGCTGGAAAATTAACATTATAAAAACTGAAGTCGCCTGGTTCACTTAGAATAACTGATCATGGAGATAATCGTCCAATAACAATAATTTTGAAGGGGACCTGTTACACTTTTCCAATATTTTCTATCAATTATGCAAAGTCACAGTGGTGGAGGCTCATATTAAACATGGCTCACATGATGAGGGGAGCACATGCACAAGGCTCAGGTTTCAGACTGCTCTAAACACTGTTTCCCGAAGTTTTTTCTACTCTTGGCTCTGCATGATGCCATTGAGAGTTTGAGAGGGGCAACCAATCAGAATAAAGGTGGCTTGTTTCAAACCACAAAGTTGCGTAACCATGCAAAGCCATTCCTGTAGAGGATAAGAATTAAAATATTGAGCAAAGGGACAAATAAGCTACATTTTATAGCTAGATTTAGTTCCTTTGTGTAACTGCACCTCACTGTGATACTTAAAACCTTGGCATAGTGACGCTTCAGCTTTCTCATTAAGACATTTAAAGCAAATGGTCTGGTTCTTATACAGTGCTATTCAAAGCGTTTTAGTAGTTGACCAGCTACCTCCTGAGCTAGAGCCACCCCTGATGTGTCAAACTGGTCTCAAAGACAGTCTGGATATACTTTTGTAATATTATTAAGCACCTAAATATTACTTTATGAAAGGTTAAAAACACAAAACTGCCATTTAAAGTAGTTTAAATTGTTACAACTCCGATGTGAATGTGTTTTACTTCATTTGACAAATAATTATACTTAAAATCTGACTAGGCCAAGAAGCAGATTCGGGACGTCAGCTGTTTACTAGGAGGTATTTCAGCCTTTTATCTAAGTTTTTTTTGACTTGCGGACACCCTGAAGACAATCAAACATAGTGCTGAAAAAAGTGGAAGAGGTTAGCAACACAATGCGACAAATTACCGCTCTGTACCCCTAAAATCACTGGACTTGGTGCTGTGAGTAAGTTAGTGAGGGATGTTAGGGTGGTGAGGCAAGACTAACGGCTTGAGGTGGAAAAAAAGCCCAAGACAAGAGGAATGACTTACAAAATAGACCTTTAAAAACAGAGAAGAGAGAAGGAGGAGGGCTGTCCTTAAGAATCTACAGGGGAGAGAAGTTAAAAGATTTCGTGAGTATCGACCCTGAAAGGAGGGAGTGATTTTATACACTGCTCAAAAAAATTAAACACTTTTTAAATCAGAGTTTAGCACCAAGTCAGCTAAACTTGGGGGATACTGATCTAGTCAGTTAAGAAGCAGAGGGGGTGGTTAAGGGAAAAAATACCAGACGCCTCCGCCTTTAAAATTCTCATCTTCTCTGGCTGATTTTTCTCTAGTTTTATGTTTGGATAGGGTCACTCTCACTACTGGTAGCATGAACTGATACCTAGATCTTACAGAGGTTGCACAGGTAGTCCAACTCCTCCAGGATGGTACATCAATACGTGCTATTGCCTGAAGGTTTGTCAGACCCTACGCTGGTACAGTGGGTCCTGGTTCCTCCTGGTGCATGATGATGCCCGGCCTCATGTAGTGAGAGTATGCAAGCAGGCTCTTTACACCACTGATTGGCCCCAGCATCCGCCAATAGAACAACAATTTTGTTTTGGTCCTTCCAATGCTGCCAGACCTCAGACCGCCCAGGAACTCAGTGATGCCCTGGTCCAGATCTGGGAGATCCCAGTGGACACCATCTCTTAAGGAGAATGCCCCGAGGTTGTCAGGCATGCATGCAAGTACGTGGGTGCAATAAAAACTACCATAATACCATTTTTGCGTTACTGCAGTGAAATTCTGGCAGAATGTACTAGCCTGCCATCTTTGAATTTAGCTCTCTGTATGTTAAAAGCTTTCATTTCTGTCAAATGATGTAGCATCCTAACACATTACCATGCCCATATCAATATAGTTATCCAGTAATTTTTTGGAGCAGTGTAGAAACCACAGAACTCAGAGGAAAGGCCGGACGAAACCTGTTTGCTAGATTTTTGACCATAAAAGAGGCAGAAATAAAAAAGGGGCAAACAAAGAAAGCAGAAATACTAAGCCTGAACAGTAAAGTCATGGTTCTCTCACCATCTCCCTGCACATCTGAGGTCCATAGTGTCAAGTTGTCACGTAGCAACTGCATGATAAGCGTAGAGTCCTTATAGCTTTCCTCACTCAGGGTATCCAGTTCTGCAATGGCATTGTCAAATGCTTCCTTCGCCAACCTGTCAGCAGAGAAGATACGAACCAACACAGAGGAGCTGAGGATTCACTTCACACAGTGGAAGCACAGACATATCAAAAGTGAAGCAAATGTGGAAGTGTGACAGTCGGATCCACCATTCATCCATCACATCTGGTGTCCAAAATGTAATTATTTTTCTTAATCCATGGACCATTCTGGATATTTATGTGTGCCATCTATTCATTTTCTGCTCCTTATCTGGGTCCAGGTTGCAAGTGCAGCAAGCTAAACCCTGCTCACCTTCTCCAACTTATCTAGATATACTCCCAAATGTTCCCTGGAGGCTCTTCCCATGTCCAACCTGGAAGATATCCAGGAAGCAGCCTGGTGAGATACCCAAACAAATGTCCGGCTGGTGCCAGTGTGATCTTTTTTTCAAACTGGAAAACTGTAGTCCTTTGCCGATAAGCTACGCTGTGAGACGAGTCAAAATAAAGTCAATGTGGTTGAATAGCCAGTTCACGAATCATTTCATCTGGCACCCCTGGATGGCTCAACTCCTAAACGATGCTCCTCTTTGTAATGAGTAATGAAAGGCAATAATGAGAGACCGAGAGTCCAAGCTGCTTATATTATCCAAGTCTTCTTTTTTCAGCCTACCACAAAAGTAAGAAATAAATAAACTACTGAACAGCACAAAATTGACTTACATTTTAATTTCCTTCTATAAATCATTCCATTAAAAAGCATAAGATGACATCCACAAACTGCTTTTACTTTCACACCTTTTTTTTTTAGTTTGTAGTTTCCTTTCAGTTCACTAACAATCTTGAAGCCTCACGTGATGTAAAACCCCCGTAGCCCCATCAAAGACGCCACAGGAAGTCCTGCTTGTAGACGTCAAACTTGTTTTGTTGTTTTCGTGCACCCCCCACACACACACACACACACACACATCAAAAACAACTATCTCGTGCACTCACCTGCAAGCACGGTCCGGCGAGTTGAGGATTTCATAATAGAAAACAGAAAAGTTAAGGGCCAGTCCCAGACGGATGGGGTGCGTTGATGGGAGTTCGATCATGGCGATGTCGCTCGCAGCTTTGTACGCTACCAAACTGTTCTCGGCTGCCTCCTTCCTGTCGTTGCCTGTGGCAAACTCTGCCAGGTACCTGTGGTAATCTCCCTTCCTGAGTGGGGCAAACACAAAGGCCATGAAGAACATATGGGCAATCTGAAGGGTAAAGCCACTTTTAACTGTTCAAAATAAATCAGGGGTATTGGTTAATACTTATCATGGAAAAAGATTTTTTTTAATAAAAATGAACAAAGACCACATTAGGATCATATAAGTACAGTTAGACCGGCGCCTAATCCCCTTAACTAGGGCACAATTCTAATCAGAGAAGCATCTTTTAGAGGGCAACTAAAGAGAGTAAGCAAAACACTCCTGAAACAAGCTTCGTTTACTCCCAAGTTTGTGATTTTCCTTCAAGCATCTACTTTTTAAATTTAAGAGAGGTACCGTGTACCATTTCATCGTGGGAGATGGAGCTTAAAAATGCATCCAATTTTTCTGACAGGCCAGTTTCTGCACAGTGCATGATTTTTACCCCACAGCCTCCAGACTTCAGCTTCACCTCAACCTTTAATGGTTTATTCTAAATGGGACAGGGCTGTGCTCCTCTAAATAAGGCCACAGAAACAGAGAAAAATACTAAGTAATAAATATCAGACTATCATTTGTGATTAAAAGTTTAGTCTAGTTATGCAAGGCATCACAACCCAACAGTATCTTAACAAAATGAGAGAAAATGTGTTAGCAAATGTTTTTGTTAAATAGCCAAACAACCCGAAATTAACATTTGCTTATTTAACAATCGATTCTGCAACAACAAACATACATTAAAAAACTCAGAATGTCCCATAATTTGTAATAATCTGGGCGACCACACCACTTTCCTCATTTTGTTAGTACAATTTCAGATATGAACTGGATACCTACATTTTATAGTAGAAAACCTTAGATTCTCCCGTGGTAGCAGCTAAGATGAGATGCTTGTCCAGTACATCCAGAATGTCATTGCAGATTGATTTCAGCTCTTTCTCAACCTGCAGAACAAAACACAGATGCTTCTGTTAGTACACCATGTTCCTACTCACTCTGTGTGCTTTGAGACCTTTGCAGATATTGGCGTGTTCAATTAGACAGCACTAACCTGACAGTGTTTGACAGCCACTCTTGTGCTAGCTAATGCTATAAAAACTTTTTCCAACTTGTTGTGCCTTTTCCATAGTAACAAATAAGCAGTAAACAATGCCACAAAGAAATAAAGAAATGCTTCCCATTGATGGCTAACTTATTACCTGGACCAGGGACCTGGTCTGGTCTCCACTTAAGCAAACAGGGCTTCTTCCTGGCTTTTCACAATAAAAGCCTTCATTATATAGTAATATGATGGCTACTTACGACAGACCTCTCTCCTTTATCTTTTTTATTTTTAGGTTATGAGACACATTTTAACAAATGAATATTTGACATCTATGAAGCTCATTTTGATGTCCATTAACAAAACAGCAAACAAAACAAAAAGGTGAAAAAAGCTTTTTGTATAAAATGATGATAAATATAGTGGAGACCAGAGAAAGTTGAATAACATAATTCTAAAAAACCTAAATATAATGCATTTGCTTCAATGCTTCGTTTAATCCACAACTCGGTAGCGCTCAGCTGTCACCATGTAAGCGCAAGCGCTTCACCCACATTTACGACTAAAAATAGACCTGCAATTCAAGGCTTCAGAGTTAGATTCGAATCAACACAAAATATATTAATTAAATAAACTGTATTAATATTTGAAAGTAGTTTTCTAAGTCTTTTTTTTTTTTTGCACGGCAGTAAAACTGAGCCGCTGACCTGTAGCCGTTAACATGGACACTGAATTACTATTAACATCTACACCATCAGAACGTCTGCAGCAGGAAACTTCAGTTCTGAGAGTGCTGATATGCTCACTTTTCTATACGTCGTTCTTTATTTTCTACAGGCTTACAAGCCCATATTCTTACTCACTAGTACATTTAAGCACACACACCCCACATCCCAAATTGACCTCATCCAGGAAATGAAACTGAATTTTTTTTTTGCCTCATGCTAATGTAAGAAAGAAGAGTAAAGGCTGGTTAACTTTATGTCTTAGTGTAGGTTGTAGGTCTATTTGACTTTACTGTGCTGGTGATTATTTAAAAGGAATGAGCTGAGCTTTTTATTTGACTGATATTTAAAATATGCAAGTTCATTTTGAAAGACCTGTTTGTTTTTTTTATCTCTTGAATATTTATTATGATTATTAAGAAAAGTATTTCTCATAGGATTACTGGATGGATACGATAGAATACTTTATTAATAAAATAATCAAGTTTTGCAGCTGTAGCATAGAGCTTAGGGGATTTAACTCCAGAGTCAGCATGCAGTTAGTCCCACAGTGGGCGTTCTCTGAATTCTGCTGTTACTGGGAGTTTCTCTGGAGCATAATTGGGGAAAAAATGCAATTTAGAGTTATTTCGTGGCTGCCACCCGACTCATCATTTTGGGCTGTGAAACCATTTCCTGGAGGAGAGCTCTCATCTCCATGAAATAACTGTGCAGGTACTAATGTCTAACCAGAGCTACCTCAGTCCTGAGGGTTTGTTTTTTTTAATCACTCTGTGAAGTAGTGGCAAGAAGAAAAAAATACAATCACGTGTGGTAAGAGCAGAATCAGAATGAAAAACAAGGACAGCATCAGATGTGGGTTTAAACTGCGTCTGACCGTTTTCCTGTATTCTCGGATCATCTTTAGTTTGTCTTCGCCTCCTTTGTTTTCTTCTTTCTGTTCGAGGCTGCTGATTATCCTCCAGGAGGCTCTCCTGGCTCCGATAACGTTCTTGTACGCTACAGAGAGAAGGTTCCTCTCCTCCACCGTCAGCTCCACGTCCATACTCGCCACGTTCTTCATCGACTCCACCATTTCTGAAAGAAGCAAAATAGAAACAAACGGCTGAATGTCGGGTGAATTATCCACAGGACGAGGGGAGCAATGTTGGAACTACCATGATTTTCCTTTTAAAGCTTTAAACTCAGTTTCAGGCTGTTTTAAGCTTCACCCATATAGGAGAGGGGATCCAATCAGAAAAATGCTTTCTGAAGGGTGGGGATAGGGGAGCCCTCTGGTTTTAGACCAGGGGTGGGGAACTCCAGGCCTCAAGGGCCGGTGTCCTGCAGGTTTTAGATGTGACCTTGATCCAATCACAGCTGATTTAAATGGCTAAATTACCTCCTCAACATGTCTCGAAGTTCTCCAGAGGCCTGGTAATGAACTAATCATTTGATTCAGGTGTGTTGACCCAGGACGAGATCTAAAACCTGCAGGACACCGGCCCTTGAGGTCTGAAGTTCCCCCACCCCTCTTTTAGACAGTCAAGAGGCTCCACTGAGGCCTAATTTAACACAAATAAAGATTATTTTGAAATGCGAATCATGCAAAGCCACTCTAGGAGAATTAAGGAGGTTTAAAGGAGGGGTTGCTGAAGGAGCTAATACTCCAATATTTGAGCTGAAGTATTAAATTTACTTTTTAAAAAAGGACCACAGAAGCAGTAACTTCCTAGTGTTCAGACCTTCTGTTTGCAAGAGGTAGCCAATAAGAAAAAAAAGTGCGAAAAGGGAGAGGAGCCAAGATGGCTTGGTTCAGGCAGTGGGCATATTTAAAATAAATAATGATCACTTTCAATTGTGAATCATGCAAAGCTACTCTAGCAGATTTCAAGATCAAAAATAGGAAATTTGCATCAATTTCATTACATCTGATTGGAATTATAAAGAGAAATTTTCTGCTGGGTTAAACAACAAAAAAGGTAAATGTGAAAATATTTCTGCTTTAATATTCAGCACTGAGTCTTCATTACCGTTATTAACATTCATTGTTTTTAAATTAAAAACAAGCACATCTTCATGCCATTAGCTCAGTCCTGAAAGGTTTCTGTCATCTTCAGTGATTTATTAATGGAGCGCCCGGGATGCTGACCAATTATAAACTCCTCTAATGTAGACATTTACCATCGTGGACACCTTCGGGGAGGCGATGGAAACTGAGCCAGAACATTAAACCAGAGGGCTGAGCCAAATCATCTTCAGTACTTTAAAACATCTCATGTTTGATTCATGGCAGCAAAACAAAACGATTGGCACTTATCTCAGGAGTAATTCATCAGCACAACGAGCTTCTTCCCCGAGGAGTCAAATAAATGAGGCAACGGGGAGCCTCTTTAATCAAGAACACAAACACCGAAAATTAACTGGATCTGTTTCAACTTAAAAAGAAATGCCTTTATTCTAGCATGTAATAACTTACATAAGAAGCATCAAAGATGGCAGGATGAAGGACAAAAAGTGGTTAAAACAAGCCACACACCACATTAAAACATCTAATTTGGATGTAATTTCTTGCCTTGTCGCCCAGCCCAGCGCTGGAGGGAAAATACAAGTGCCAATCATCCAGTTTGTGACGTATAATCAGATACAGTCAGCAGGAGCAATGAGCTGGTTTACAAACCAGGAGGACTCAACATGCTGCTCCACCTCGGCCTGCTCTTAGAGCGAATCAGTGAGCTCCTCGTGCTTTTAAAGCATTTTTCAAGTGAAGCCTCCACAGGCTGTATTTGGACACCAAGTCATTAAAAGGAATCTGCACAAGCACAATAGACGTTCACGACCTTTTTTAGCTGTGCAGTGGCAGACAAAGCTACTCCCTATTATAGTAAAGATGTAGGTAAGTAAAAGTGACATGCATCTCTGTTTGAATACTAAAAAACTCAATTTTTTATCAGTGATCTCAATTATGTAACACTGTTATTCATTTACTTAAATGCTCAGGTATTCAACTTTGGAAAAAATGAAATTTATAGGAGATGTATTTAACATGAGGGCTGTTCTACATCTGCTTTGAATCTACACCGTGGGTACATCATAACCACAAACTTTCTGAAAGTGTAAGCCACATCGTGCTGTGCACCTCCTTAGAAACCACAGCTCGCATTAACCCGGCAGTTCAGTATTGTCGTTTCCTCTAGTGCATTTCTGGCTACTACTTCTTCTACACCCAATTTTCAAACTGACTAGAAAAGAGAAACTCCACCGCCAACTAGGATTTTGGTTGTGAACCAAAACTACATGGGCTCGACACAGCCCATAAAGTCCATCATGTAAGGATGCCCGCTGGTCCGCTCTCAGCCGTTTCTACCATAGTGCTAAATTTAAAAAATATACAAAATTGATTTAATTTTTTATTCAGTATGCTGTCAAATGAGTGACTGAGCACAAAACGAACGCAGATTTCTGCTTCGGCTTTGTGACCCAGAAGCTACGTCCACGACCTCTACCAAAGGAATTCTGCAGGTGCCAACATGTTCAACAAGAGGCCTGGAGATCCCCAGAGTAGCCGAAAAGTGGATCAGAAGAGAGGAAGGCTCTTGTCCAATCATTGATTTCCAAACACCAGGCGCAGGGGGTGCTGTCGACATTTCAACAGCACTGGGTGAGTGACTCTTCCAGTCTGCATGTTGAAGTATTCTTGGGACAATATATTGAACCCCGAGTTGCCCTTGATACAACCATCAGAGGGTGAGAGTGTGGAAATGTTAGGTTAAAAGCACTTAGGCATAGGAGAAATACTTCTATGAAGCATTAATTATAGTAGAAAAGCACTGCGTAAGTGCCAAATCCAATATGCATTAGCCATTATCGGATTTCTGCTTGTTTGAAATTGTTACTTTCCAGCTACATGCAGGAAAAGCTTGCTTTTGCCTGTACTGCAGCAACCTGTTCCTGTGATGTTTTATTCCTTTTTGCCTTTGTTTCTCTTCCTCAATTACTTCAGCTGGAAGCTTTTTATAAGCAGCAGCACCCCAGAAAGACAGACCAGCCTAAAAATAGCACAAACACAGACACTGGCGTGTTTGTTTGCACAATGATTAACCCATAAAATGCATGATGAAATGCAAATTTATATTGACGGCAGGGAAATTTCTGTGCCCCATCAACAAAAAAAAAAAAGAGGCAGACACTCTGAACCAAATGGCTGCAATTAATACCAGCAGCTGCAGACAAACTTGGGAAATGTGACTTTTTGTTGAGAAAGAGGTTCGTTTTCACACTCTGAACCAGACAAACGGAGATCAGAGAGTGTGGAAAGTGCACAGTTTAACACATCAGCGATGCTTTCACGCATAAACTCCTGCACACAGCAGGAGGTAGGCCATTTTACACCAGGGCTGGGCGGTATGCTGGTCATAATTCCACGCATGACACGAATCTTTCAAATACTGATAAACTGGAGAACAGCCAAAGAGCCAGCTGTGGTTTCTATACTGACCACCGGGAGCGATGCAGAGCGACAAACCGAGCATCTGTCTTCCACACGGTTTTAGTCATATGACGCAAGAATTAAACATCCTCTGCTAGCACTCTTAAAAAGGGCAAACATCATGGCACTATAATCTGAAGAGTAAACTAGGGCATGCTGGGTAATGCTAACTTACAGCCTGTTGGAAGCGGCTCCGTCAAAAGTGTGGAAAGACTCCACAATAACTAATTGAGGAGCCCTGCCGTCAGTTTATTTAAAAGGAGACTTGCTTTGCAGCTCTGCCAAAACACAGTAACAAGGAAACAGACATGGTTTTAAACATGGACGTAGCTTCCACATTGGAAACAAAGGCAATGTCTGCTGCAGTAAATCTGCACCACCAGACAGCGACAGCTGAGCTACAAAAAGACTTCCGGTACTATTGATGTTCATGAGAAATTCGCCGCAAGTACGTTCCTGCTCAGTTTATGGGCTCAAGGGCTTGTAAAGATCATTACGCTCATTGTTAAGGCTAACAATTATCGAGCTACTTTGCCAGTAAAGAAGCACCCCCTCCTCGTTACATCCGATTCGTTTTTAAACCGCGATGGCGAAAGCCTTCAAAATAGGACCTCAGATGCCAATGGGTGATGTCACTATATTTACATCTTTTTGATACAGTCTATGCAGGGAATCAGGTGAGGATAACTCAATGCTAACAGCTGTTTTCACTTGAAAACTTGACTCATTTGTGCCACAACATGGAGTTTATACACTAGCAGCAACAGACCAAATGTTAGCTTTATTTATAAACGGTGGCAAAAACAGCACAAACAGACCACCTCTGTGCTTAATATTAGTTCTATTTAAACAACTGAGCAAATTACTGTTCTAATTGAAGAATGAAGTGTGTCATGTTTGTGGTGGCTGCTTTGGCTTATTTTACTTGTTGCATGGCAATATGCAGTTTCTAGAAAGAGGAATTTAACTAAGGAACTGCAAGGCATGCAATACTAATAAGATTTCCTTGCCTCATGACTGTGTACATTTACCAATATATTTTTTGAGATTACTGAAAGGCACTAAAGGCAAACTAAAACTCTTCAGGTACTGGCTCATCTGGACTTCTGATCAAGATTACAGTTTAGGTACAAGACTAACATCTTATAATGACCAGGCTGAAAAACACCTTGTAGTTTGCCAGCTACGGCGCAAATTGAGAAGCCCCTCAGAGAAGAAGAAAAAAGTTGATCCGCACAGAAATTCCTCAAACGTGATTTTAAGAGCTTAATTACGTGCACGTTTTCCATTAGACTCACTGCCACACGGGCTTCTCTTGAAACCCTTTGTGGGGCCGATTTGTAAGCAATAACTGGAGCCGTTTTCTGGGGATTTTTCCACTCGTTATTGATCAGAAAGATCAGCGTCAGCGGAGCTGCAGGTCGTGTTTGTAGTGGTATGGGCATTCGTCGTGGTTTTTCTGAATGGAGTTCGGCGTGACGGGGCTGAAGAAAGGCTAGCCAGCTAGTTAGCCGTTTAAATAGCTCGCTAACTAAGAAGAACCGCTTAGCACCGCGTAACTAACACAAATGTTCGCTGGCAGCAGTGCACACCGCGGGACACGCTTTCCAGCACGCTGGCTGCGCCTTCCTCATGAGCTGAAAACTACATTTAAACGTATATTGTTTCATTCGGCTGGGGAAACCTCCGCCATTTTGTCTCGTCTCACCCAACAAATCCATGTGAACTGCTTCACCTGCGTCTCCAAACCCCCTGCGCAGGGAGACAGAGGGGGAAAGAGGGGCCAGGCGGTCTGCAACCACCGATATCTGTCCGCAGCCTTACCGTCATATCTCTCCGCTTGTTCGGCGAGTTTAGCCTGGTATACTAAGTTCTCTCTGTCCGCCATGGTGCTCGGATACTGGGGCTTTTCGTGGCGTCCCAGTGGAAAGGGAGGATTATCGGCTGCTCTGCGATTCCTGGTGGTGGATCAGCAACAGCACTGTCGCTTCGCTGAACCGAAGAGCCACCGGTAGCACTGGCGTAAAGATGGCGCCGCTGCTCCATCCGGGAAATCCACGCAGCGGACTCATCCACGCCTCCAGCCTCCAGCCAAGTCAATAAAATATATTCAAATAAAATCAACAATAAAGGTAGTGATTTTAAAAAAAAAAGAAGTGCGTGAATGAATAAAAAAGTCACGTAAATAAATTTAAATAAAACTGAAATTAAAAAATAAACTTCACGTTATATAAAAAATTAAGGTCATTAAAAAAACAAAGAAAGAATATACACGAATAAGTTAAAAAGTTCCGGAATATAAATAAAATTAAAAAATAAGCTAAAGAAAATAAATAAAAAATAAAAATAAATGAAAAAGTAATGAAATACAGTTAAAAATAATTTAAAATATAAGATAAAAAAAACCTTATGAAAAACATTTAGAAATAAAATAATAGAAAAATAATCAAATAAAAAAACTGAAAAATACAAAAAATACCAAGTCTCAAAATAAACTGTCCTTTAAGTAAATTCAAAACCCTCCAACACCTTAATGTTAACGCCTTAATAATTCACTTACACTCTTCATTGAAGAGTGCAGTTGAATTTGCAATCTAACATGTTAAGAAAGCACAAAGAAGCACTTTATTTTTTTATTATTATTTTCCAAATAACTATATTAATAATTACTTTACCAAAAGTATCATAAGTTAGTAAAACTGAACTAAAGCTAAATGTCGAGACAAATTTTAGTTATCTGAAAAAATATGAAAGGATTTTTTTTTTTTTTTTAAATGAAGCCTAACCTTAAATAATACAATGTACTAAACCAAAGATAAACTGATATACACTAGAAATTACTGTTTTAATGTTAAATTTTTGTCTTCATAACCAGCAACAGGAGGCTTGAGTCCCAGTATTTATTGATACTGGGATGTCTTTGTGACTGAGTCCCAAATGTTTGTATTATTCCCACCATCCATCCTCTTCCACTTGTCCAAGTCTGTTTGTATTGTTGTGTAATGAAAACTAAAGCTAAAGCCAAACCTTTTCTGTAGAATGTGCATACAGTAAACCTAGCATTTATAAACCCTGAATGTAGATAAACGGAATAATTTCACACACCGATAAAGTGCACCCTGACAATTACGTGTATATTTATTGACTAGGATACATTGATAGATTACACACTACAGAAGATAAAAAGCTAATTTTGACTTCAAAATAAAAGATTTTGACTCATTGTACAATCTCCTGAAAAGAAATACAATTTTTGCTTGTTCTGAAATCACCACTAGATAAGGTGCATGTTTGTAGGTGATCGGTCTTTAACTAATGTGGCAGAACTGAGTAACAGTGAGGTGAACATCCCAAAAATCAGCAGTAAACCAGAAAAGGAATCACAAACGACCGTTTGAAAAATAAAAAATCACCATTTCACACCAGATTTTATATTTGTTTTTAAAAGAAGCTTTCCATTTCACCCCACAATCACCAAGACAGCAGCAGCAGGTTTCATTTATGTCACGTTCCACACAAAGCACTCAAAAATGTCTCCTTTGGGACGTGGAAATATTGCATGGATTTATTAGTGCAGCACAAACGGGGCTGTACATACTGTATACGGTTATAAAACATGACATTAATGGTGTACAAAAATATTTTCCATAAATCTGAATCTCAACAAAAGAAATATGAAGGAAAATTATACACAATGTAAACTCAACACAGCTTCTGCACTCTTAAATGTGTTTGAAAATTGTGTCCAACCTCCCCACCAACACACAGCTGCGATCATTTAACCCTCACGTCATACTTTAAAGCACTTTAAGGACCCCCGTAGGTTTTATCACTAAACGTGCCTCTGATGGCATTATTATAGATTTATTACCGGTATTTTTAAAGTTCTGATTCAACTTCTTGCATCGTGTTTTGGAGACGTCTGCCTTCTCTTGAATAGAAACTAAACTGGACTCGCCATGTGAAGCTCCAAGCGCACAGAAATTCATATGAAAAGCACATAGCGACATCTCCTTCCAAGAATCAGAATCATTTGTTAACCACACACACACAGAAAATAAAATAAAACAAATAAATCCCCAACAAATTGTTGTGAGAAGCTTCATGTAGGGCACTACTTTTTCCTTTCTGCCCAACCACACAAGCCTGTGCAGAAGGAAGTAGTGAAAGTTTTTTTCCTTTTTTGGTTTCTTATTTAAAAAAAAAAAAAAAAGTGTGTGTGAAATACAATAAGAAAAAATAAAGCAAACAATAACTAACATAGAGAAGATTTCATTTTTGCTCTATTTGGTCATATTTCTCAACATTAACCACACCCCTGTATAATAATAAATTAAAGATTAAGACAGCCAGTTAAAGACTAATGACTAAAACTACCCGTGAAACCAATAAAAACCAAACTAACTAAATACTTTCAAAACTAAAGTGAAATAAACAAACCCTTTCTGGCTACTAGCTACTAAACTAACGAAAAAAAATATTAAAAATCTGACAAGTTACAACCTTTAAGATAGGTATGCAAGTAACTAGCTTACAGATACTGCTGTCATACAGTTACACACAAAAAAAGAGTGAAAGGGAAAAGAGGAAGAAAAAAAAAAGCAGACAAATGTTTACCTCCAATTACTCAACTGATCTGTCCCCTCATTTCCCCAAATTTAAGGTCAGCGTTTCTTTATTTTTTTAAGCATTTCTTTTGCCCCCCCCTTACTGCACACATTTGGACGGTAGGGGGCAGTTACCTCCTGGGGGAATGCATTTATGTAGGAAGAGGTTTATTCACAGGTGAAAGTGTAACAGTTACCGTTTCCACATCAAGCACACTACCCTGACACTGGAACATCTGCACGTGTCTGTTTTTGGATGCTCTGAGAGCGACGTGGCGAGTTTAGTTCCATAATATCTGAGAGAAGGCAGGCGTCGCTAACACTGGGGTCGACATAAGTGGTTCTCAAACTGCACAGGTGTGGGCAACAAGATGAAAAATAGTTCTGTGTGTATTTTAGGGAGTCTGTTAGTTGCACTGGACCATCTCCATTGAGATAAAAATTCTTTTTTGGACCACTCTTCCACATTACTGACAAATTCAAACTGTGGGGTGTTAACTTTTCCCCTTCCACAGAGTTTGAGAACCCCAGATCTGTACTGCGAGGTGTGAGGTGAACATCTTCTCATCCTCCGTCCCCTAATAACCATAGGAGGGACACGTAGGCATCATTTATCGCTTTAGCTCCAGGGCAGGTCTGAACTTCTTAATTTTGGAGAACCAGAAAAATAACATGCAATTCTGGGTGTGTCCTCGAGACTTCAACTTCAAGCCAGTCACTTCCCAATTTAACTTCTCATCTTTTCCAAGAACAAATATAAGGCAGGTCCGCGGAGGATGCGGACCCTCCCTCGTGACCAAGAAAAACAAAACAAAACAAAAAAATCTATGTGCAGCAGGGGTTCCTGTTTCAGTAAGCACTGCCAGCAACTCAATCTTTGAATGCATCCTGACAAAGATGATAAATGAGTTTCTGACCTGGTAAAAATACAGGGTGCAACCAATCACACCCCCAATTTAAGACTCTTCCCCCCTCTCTCACACACTCACACACACACACACAGTGTTTTATCAGTTTCAATGCCACTCACCACATTTCACAACCATTGTCAAGTCTGCACTAACGACAAAATTTACAAAAAAAAATAATAATCCCAAGTTGCTGATTCCTCTCCTCGTTTCTGAGAACAAACATGTCCTTAGTAACAGATGAGTTTCAGGTTTCTATTTATAATGCCACGGTGCCAGCAGAACTGTGAATGTTTATAAAAGCTTTGTGTGCTCAAGATGACAAACAAAGTTACAGCAAATGCCATCCATGGCACCCTTATGGCACGAGAAACAACATGAAAAAACATGTCCGTTTTAGCAGTAATACTTTTTTTTGGTGGTGGATTTTATCTTAAAAGCGTCTCCGAATGACTGTCGTATCAGCCCACCAGGATGACAAAAATAAAATCCCTCAACCTTTCTCCTTGCATCCTTTAATAAAGCAGCCTCACGGGATTGTTCCTTCCTCTGTGACAGGGTGCTCGTTTTGTTCTTTCGCATTTCTGCGTCTTAAAAGAGAAAAATAAAAAAGGTGTACACTCTCTGGCCATAAAAAGTAAGAGAAAATCAGCATAAAGAGGGGAAACGTTTACAGTATTTAGCATGTAAGGTGTGCATGTATATAGAGTTAATTCTATAATATTATTTTCCACTTTTTGTACATCAACAACAAAAAAAGAGGACTTGGTTTGTAGTGTAGGGTGTGGTAAAGTGGTGACGCTGTCTCCACAGGACAGTCATCAGGTAAAGTCTTTGTTGGTTTCACTCTGAGGTTCACAGTCTAGCACAAGGAAACAAAAAAATCTCTCACAGACACACACATCTGTGAGAGCCGCAGTGTTTTATCTCCCGTTTTATCTCCATTTCCCTCCTGCAGGTGTCAGTGAAAGGTAGTGGCTGGAGATGCACGGATACAACGGAGAAGAGGTGGAGGATGACTCTGCTGTGTGATGTGATGATTTCAATACTGGGATGGAAGCATGTAAACCGGGGTTTGACTGATATCGGTCACCTGTGCCGTCTTTAATACGTTTTCTATTTAATACCTCTGTTAAATAGGAGGTATTAACAGGTTTAGCTGTGTTTGATCAACATGCTCAGAATCAGTACACTTGTGTAGCATCAAAGCCCTCTGAGCGAGGGGGGGGGGGCTTTGATACCTGTATTTTGGCTCTGACATTTCCAGTTTACACAAATTTACTACAAGTACACAGAGCTGAAGTCCACCAGAGTGAAGATACGTCCTTGCTCAAAAAGACAAACCTCACATTAGTGGACTTTGGGGTTAAAAAGTGTTAAAAAGATGTGGACTTGACAGTAACAGCTGTGGTTACAGGCAGACGTCATCATTAGCTAGTCTAATAAAGAAATGTGTTAAGGTTATTGGCTGGGCCTGATATTATATAAACTGTGCCCAACGGGTGAAAATAAGATTAAAAACGATTAAAAAGTTTACGTT